AGCGACTGCAGTCAGAAAACTTTCAGCCTTGAATACACTTAACACTGTTAGAAAACTGACCCATGAGAGTAGTAAAGCAAAGAAAGAGCAGAAAAACAATACCAACAAACCAGATCAACTCCAATGGAGAGCTAAAGTGGAATGCCATGGTGAGTAGAGGAGAGCTAGGAGACAGGAGGCGTGGCATTGGATACGCATACTTAACATGCACAAGTCCCTGGGTTTGATCTTCAGTATCACAAATAAAGGTTTTATTTTTTACATCTGGGACTTTAGGTCAAGACTTGGTCACTGTCCCTTAGCTTTTTCACCCAAGGCTGGTATTCTATAACTTGAGCCACAACTCCACTTCTGCCTTTTTTGGTGTTTAACTGGAGTTATAAAAGCTCATGGACTTTCCTGTCTGGGCTGGTTTTGAACTATGATCCTCAGGTCTTAACCTCCTGAGTAGCTAGGATCACAAATGGGAACCATCCCAGGTGTCTTTATCTTTTTTTTTTTTTTTTTGTATTTCCAGTGGTAGGGATTAAACTCAGGACCTGGGAGCTGTCCCTAAGTTTTTTTTCCCTCAAAGCTAGCACTCTACCACTTTTAGCCACAGCTCTACTTCTGGTTTTCTGGTGATGAATTAAGAGATAAAGCGTCCAAACAATGGGTTCAAACCACAATCCTCAGATCTCAGCCTCCACAGTAACTAGGATTACAGGTTTGAGCCACTGGCACTTGTCCTATTTTTATCTTCTCTATATCCACAAGTTGCTGAAAACTACACAGCCTTAGGGTGAAGTCCTGACTCATGGCATTTCCCTCGCTCCTAACTAAAAAGTAAGAGTTAAGTCAAATGGAGGGACAAAGGGTGAACAAATGCAGAAATGGTACTCACTGACACTATGTTGAAAATGAACTATACAACTTGTCTATGAGCAAGTTGCCAGGGCCTCTGAGGACCCTTGTCTCAACTCAGGACAAACCCTCAGTCTCCATTTTAAAACAGAAATATAAACACTACCCCAAGATGAAAGAATTGTACATGTTCCCAACACTCAAAGAAATGATCAGTGTTTGAGCTGATGGATATGCCAGTTACCTTATATCATTACACATTGTATGTATAGAAGGGCCAACCTGTACTCCATAAACATGTAAAATCCCTATATCAATGAGAAATAAAAACTATTTTTGCAAGTTACACAAGCCAGGAGCTATGCCTGTAATCCTAGCTACTCAGGAGGCTGAGATCTGAGGATCCCAGTTCAAAGCCAGCCTGGGCAGGAAAGTCTGTAAGACTCTTTTTTTTCCCCCCCTTAAGACTCTTATCTCCAATCAACCACCAGAAAACTGAAAGTGGCACAGTGGCTCAAGTCCCATGACCAAAAAAAAGAAAGAAATGTAGCCGGGCGCTGGTGGCTCACGCCTGTAATCCTAGCTACTCAGGAGGCTGAGATCTGAGGATTGCGGTGCAAAGCCAGCCCGGGCAGGAGAGACCACCGTGAGACTCCTATCTCCAATAAACCACCAGAAAACCGGAAGTGGCGCTGTAGCTCAAGTGGTAGAGCACTCGCCTTGAGCTGAAGAGCTGAA